GCATCGATTCGCTACAGGAGGCCTTTGTTCACCCCCCGGAGCCGTGTGAGACACTTTTTTTTTTATGGATGGGCCATTTTTATTAAGTGCTTTTGGACTGATGCATGCAACACCCGCTGAGTGCCATTAAACAGCTTGAAAGATCAAAGACTATTTTTAATATAACTCCGACTGGATTCGTCTGAAAGAACCAAGTCATATACACCTAGGATGACTTGAGGGTGAGTAATTCATGGGATAATTTTCATTTTTGGGTGAACTAAAACGCTTCAAAAACGCTGATTAATCTAATAAAGAAACAATGAAGTATTTATGAGTAAATCATTGAATCATTAATTTAAACCAATTTTTCATCCTTTTAATATTAAAAATTGGTTGATTAAATATATATAAATATATATTAATAATTCATTCAAATTAATTAAATATTTTTAAATAGACTGCAGCAATTCATATTTTGTCACAGCCTCTAGTGAAGTATTTATGAGTAAATCATTGAATCATTAATTTAAACCAATTTTTCATCATTTTAATATTAAAAATTGGTTGATTAAATATATATAAATATATATTAATAATTCATTCAAATTAATTAAATATTTTTAAATAGACTGCAGCAATTCATATTTTGTCACAGCCTCTAGTAAATGACACATTATTTTGTTTAGTTCAGAAACGTGGGAGAATCTTGATCTCTGAGACAAAAAATTGTGATTCTCAATTTATCCAGAATCGTGCAGTTCTACTACAGAGTATACTAGAACAGTACTATACTGTACTAATAAATACTATAATTCACAGTATACCATACTAAAATCGACAGTACACTAATATATAAACATAAATATTAGACATGCTCTTTAATTCAACTGAAAATATTGAAGATTATACAATTATGCATACAAAAATAAAACCAACAACAACTAAAAACATAAATAAATAAAATAAATGTGAATAAGGTCAGGTATAAAAATAAAGTAAAAAAAATATATATACTTTGTAAAGCTGACAAACTTTTAAAGTCTTTATTCTAAGTTTAATTTATTTTAAGTCTTACTCAAATAGTCTCTAATACTATGCACAGTCTTACGCCAGTCAACAAAACCACACGGTTACGTTTTTATTAGTACACTTGCATTTATGAATGTGAAATATGGTCAAATATAAGTAAATAAGAGTGTAATTGCATTTAAGCATTTTCTATACTTTTTTAAATATTCAGTGAAGCCAAAAAGTACATTTTTCAAGTGAAAGAGGTCTTGGGCACTGGATATATTCATTGATACATTTCTGTATCACACAACACAATACGAGTACGATACTAAAATAAACGCAAGGTGGTTTCATGACAGTTATTACAGTAATTAGACAGTACAGTATACTTGAATATAAAATAGACGTCACTCGAAAATAAATTAAACTAAACGGTCTGTGGGTAATCTCCTGCTAAATTCATTTATTCAAAGCTTGTGGGATCCTATCGCAAGATAACTTAGCAGGTAAATAAATGCGCACTTGACTTAGCTCTATCTCTATATGGTAAAGAAAAGCATACTTTGAATTAAAGCAGGAAGCAGTTATAGTTTTGTATTTTATCTGTAATATTCCGGCGAATGACAGAATTGCGAAAGTTGGCTAACGCCGCTAGCTTAGCTAGCATGAGTCTCAACACTCACCCATGAGAATTCTCATCTGTTTCTTTCCAAACAGCCTGCTAAAGATCGATGAGATGGTCAGACCCATGATAAAGGACACAAATCACCTAAAACTACGGGATTAATCCTAATGTCTAAAGTTTTTTCGGTGTGATGTTCGTCGGGTGTCAGGCTCTGCGCTTGCGTAATGCCACGTCACGGCGGCGGCCGCCGTGGAAGAAATGACGAAACGCCACTTCCGATGAGTTTTTCCATAATTACAGATTTTAGAACAGATGAAAACAGCACATAATAAAGCAAGCAGGTTCACATACTGTTAAAAATTACTTAATAATAATTATGATGATGGTAATAATAATACAATTATTATTGATATTCTTTAGCAGTATGGGCTTGCAATATTGCATGTTTTAGTTGTAATAAAAGCCTGTCATTATGAAAATCTGTCAGTCGAAGGTGAACGTGATCTATACAAATAACGGATTAAAGATATGATATAACTCTTGGGCTTCAGAGTTATAAATATTTTAAAAGTTGGCTTCTTGACAGCCATTATTCTTTTGCTATGATTTCGTAAAGTATATATCCTAGTGGTGCCAGAATAAATAAATGCTTTTAAATAAAGCATAACATTCATCTCTTGACTCTTGCAAGAAGTGTAATATCAGCAGTTTGTGAAATGTACCATTGATCTAGAAAGGTTGAGCTATAGGCCAGTGCCAAAATGTATGTTCTAATGTTTATTACAAATGGACAATGTCATTTATTTTGTAATTTTGTGAAATGCAAGTCTTTCCTACTGGATAATTATGATCAGCAGTTTTTTATATGATTGTTTATATAGTGAATATGGTAATAATGCAGTAGGGTATCAATGTTGGAATCCATAAGGCACTAGAACTGGATGGTAACTGGACTGTCAATGTCCTTCTCATATATTCAGTACACGAAGTGGGGCTTTTTTTTTTTTACAAAACACCAGGCAACAGCAGCTAATTTACCATTTACACATTAATGTACATGAACATGAAACAGTCAACCATATTATTCTGTCATAGTGAGGTAATCACTGTCATTACTCATTACATTACAAAAGTACTGGGCTAAACTGAATTTTTTTCTTTTATTTGGATTACAATTTTTTTTTTTTTAATCTGTGCATACTTGCAGTAAGATATTTCTGTATTTTTCAGATGAAACGACAAAAAGCAGATGAAATTAATTTGTCATGTCTATGGTGTATTATTAAAGTTAATAATTAATAGCATGGTGTATTATTCGATGTTTAATAAACATGCATCTCAGTGGTAGCTCTCATATACATGACACCCAATTACAACACAGATTAACCTAATGGTGTTCAAAGAAATAGTTCACCCAAAAATAAACATGTCCTGAAAATGTCCTCCTCAGGCCTTCCAAGAGGTGTCACCAGAGTATATCAATGAAAAACAAACCTGCATATTGCATATTTAGTTTTTATCAGATCTTTATTTTCTCACAGGGGTGGACCTTGTGGCACAGTTCGAGCAAGAGTAGATCAGAAAATCCTGCTCAGGAAATGAGGACCTTATTGGTGTACTGGAGTGTCCCATACAAAATTCTCACTGAATGCACCTTAATCGCCGATATTAAAGGTGCCAGCATACATACATACATCCGTTTGACATGAACAGAGAAAAGAAATATGGAGCAGACTGAAGAAACCATTCATCCCGGTCCAACCCACCTCAGAAAAATCAGGCAAGGTACTATGATCTGTTCAAATGCTTTCAACTAAAATATTTACTTACTTATTGTTCAATGGAGGTATTTAACATCAAAGGCGGTCAGAGATCATTGGGCTAATCAATCATGGATGACTCCATATTGCTGTCAATATTTCATGTACCATTTTGTTCCAAAGCATCTGTTGGTGGCAAAGTCTCTGAAACAAGACTTAGGAGGCTTCTGCAACAAAAGTTAATGTGTAGCTTTGCAAAACAACCCCATGGAATAAAATTAACTGCCATGAAATGGAATGTTCATGGAGTGGCGAATCCTGCGACTCACTAGTCAAGTTAGGCAGCATTGCAACAGGGATCTTGGAGTGAGCGTCAATGCACAGTGGCTTCTTCCTGGCATTTACTCGCTCTTAAGCTACAACTACCCCAAACTTGCACGAGAGGGACGCCTCGACCTGGAATTCCTCCCAAACTTCCTTTCTGTTGTGCCATAATGCTCTCACAGTTATCAAGTAAACGTGCAATTTAAGCATTATCTTAGTCATGAAAACAATCAGATTTGTACGAAAAAAAATTAAAAGAACATTAGTAGGAATACAGCATAGAAAAAGACAGATAAGATAGATTAGACATGATGCTGAACACTTGATAGCTCCTCCACACACACACAAACACACACACACTCACTCAAGTTCTTCAAGACAGAGTCTATCAACCCACACACTCCGTCTTTCTAAAGTTCACACGCATCTCGCCAATATGAGCAGGCACACTAGTGTTTGGAGAGCTCGTTTGATAACCAGTCCAGTCCTTCATAGAGTCCGGTGCCTTGTGTAGCGCAGGTCGCTTGAACATACCACTGTGGAAACAGACAACGGACAATCAGAAAGCAGCTGATGTTTAAGCAAGTGCATGTTAGAGTCAATTGAGTAAGTGTGTGTACCGTTCTACTGCGTAGACTCTGCAGCCCAAGTTTGTCTGTGAGTTCACTGACAGCCATGGCGTTAGGCAGATCCTGTTTGTTTGCGAAAACCAGCAGCACGGCATCCCTCAGTTCATCTTCTTGCAACTGTATAAATGGAAAAAGGTCAATAAATCAAGACATATATAAATAACAGGGCTCAACAAGAATGGTAGGGAAAAAGTGTGAGCTGTGGGCCGCTGACTGCACATTAAACAACTAGTATTTTTGCAATAAAAAAGTATAACATGAAAAATGTTTCTTATGTGAATAAGAAAATTAAGAATATAAATGCTAAAATACATAAAATTATATATATGAGTGAGAGAGAGAGAGAGAGAGAGAGAGAGAAAGCATTATTTGTGGATAATGTTCACTCAAAAACTGAGGTGCATATGCTCAGAACCAATGTGGCCTATGATCAATTTCAGAAAGAAATACAAAACCTGTGCTAATTGAAAAAACGTTGATAAAAAGACTGAATCCAGACTTTTGGTAATAATATAGCATAATAAGAAATAAGCCATTTTTGTAGGCATGTCACTTTTGAAACCCAACACAAAAAATCCCTATCCCCCCCCTCTTTTTTGGGGGATTTTGGAAAGTTGTTACACCATGTGTGAGCAAAGTCAGTAAGCAATAACATTAACTAGTATTTTCGGGATGCTAGTCAAAATGACTGGAACATAAGAGGGTTAAAAGCACAAGCATAACACAAGTGTAACACAAGCGTCACAAACATATTACATGGACTTTTCTCAAGATGCTTTGGTAAGAAAATGTCCATCAAGGACAAATGCAAATGTAAATGTAAATACATTTTGTAACGTGATCTCAATTCAGGTCACTGACAGGTTTTCGAGTGCAATACAGATTTTATGTAATATCCAAAGATTAAATTGAATGCTGAAAACGGAGCAATTCTTACCATTTTAGAAAGCTCTTCTGCAGATTCGGCCACTCTCTCTCGGTCATTGCTGTCCACAACAAAGATCAGACCCTGAGGGCAAAGGAATAAAAAATAGCATGCTTCAAATTAATAATTACCACAAATGCACCCAAGTTATAAAAGATCACAGTACAACCCAACCAATGTATTACACTTTAGGTGATTTTAAACTAGGATGCTCAAACAGCACAGTTCCTGTAACTGATCTAATGTAAGTTGCTTTGAATAAATGCATCCAGAAACCGCTAAGTGGCACTTTGGCCAGCAAAACGTCTTTAAATAAAGACCATACCTGTGTGTTCTGAAAATAGTGCCTCCAGAGAGGACGAATCTTGTCCTGACCGCCGACATCCCACACGGTGAAGCAGATGTTCTTGTATTCTACAGTCTCTACGTTAAAACCTGTCCATGAGCAGAAAAAAATGCAGTTTTTAAAGAACACTTTACTCAAGGTGCATCATAACATCAAAATATATTTGACTGGCAACAACGAGATTTGTGATACACAAATATATCAGCCAGTCCAATTCAATTAGGCTGTTAAGAGATTATCAGCTGATGACTGTGTCTAATTGACCCTTTGGTCCCTCGGTTACTGTGGTTCACTAAGAAACAATGTGAAAGTGCACCTGAAATACAGTTTTACCATACTGTCTGTTATGATAATGTGGCAGACAGTGACAGTTGCTAAGGTAGGATTGGTTAGTGATGTTTTTTAAGGCAGGGCTTAGTGACAGGTAAATTAACAGCAGAAGCCATCCAGCCTTCGGTCAGCTCCAATACCTACTGTTAACGGATATAATACTTGGTATTTTCAACTATTTTGATACTTTTTGAATAAAAATAAGTTTATTTAATATCCGTAATTTCATTTTTTTGTGTATACTTTCAATAAATGATCAATGCTGAAAACGTTTTTTTGAAGGATTATGTAACACTGAAGACTGGAATAAATTACACTTTAAAATATAAAGAAAATATATAGCACAATAGAAAAGTTACTTTAAATTTTAATATTTCACAATACTGTTTTTACTGTAATTTTGGCAAAATAAATGCAGCCTTGGAGGGCAGAAGAGACTTTTTTTTTTAAATCATAAAAAAAAAAAACTAATTATTCCAAAGTTTGACCAGTGTACATGTAAACTGTAAATAATAGTCACAAAAAAAAAACATTATTTCAGTTGTAAATGCATTGGCAGTGACATAAAAGACATTGGTCATCAAAATGATGAGAATCCTAAATCAGATTCACATAAATCACATTAAGATTTAATAACGAGCTCCTCCTTTTTAAATGAACACTTTACATTGTGAAAGAGGGAGTAGAAAATGGAGAACAATCACAGTAATGATTGTGTAATCTTACCTATAGTAGGGATAGTGGTCACAATTTCTCCCAGCTTTAGCTTGTAAAGTATTGTGGTTTTACCTGCAGCGTCCAAACCCACTGAAAAATAAAACATGTAAGAAAAGACATTTAGCTGTCAAATTCATTACAGCCGTGTGATATATTTCTGATTTTATCTATTCATACAAGCTCTATCTGAAGCTAGCAAGCTAACATTAGCCACTGCCCAAGAAATATCACATTCATTGTTGAATTTCAATGTGTAAATTAATAATAAAAAGGCAATTTATAAATTATTTCATCTTACACTCAAATATGATCCCTTTTGTCTGAAAAATTTATATTTACCACAGAAGTACATCAGAAACAGTGTAAAGTGCTTGAAACACTCACCCATCAGTATTCTCATCTGTTTCTTGCCGAAAAGTCTCCCAAAGAGCGATGAGATGGTCAGACCCATGATGACTTAAAAGAAAACCCTAATAAGCGAAACAGTAAAGAAAATGTGAGAATGTATTTTAATGAATATTCTGTCTCTTTGTGCTAAGTGTCTCGCGGTCGTTTGACGCGTTGCCACGTAAGAAGAGGAGCCACCGTGGAAGACTTGGCGTCACTTCCTGCTGCAATCGCACGCCGGGCAGTGATGTCATAATTATTCATAACTTCCGATATTTTCTGAAACTCCCACTTGCTTTTTATTGTCTGATGACAGTTATTCTCATTCTGTAAAATGGAATGCCCGTATTCACGCCGAATCTGAATGTACTGGACAATCTTGTTTTTTTTTTTTAAATCTTTGTTGTTTGTTTGTTATTAAGCAAAAAACAACGTCTAAATTCATAACAGAAATCCATGTAACGTATTCGTTCGTTCATTAATTCACTAATATTGTTGTTGTTGTTGTTATATCAACTGAAAAACACATATTTTACATTGTTATTTTTATTAATTAATTATTATTATTTTATTTTTTATTGTTGGTTTTCGTTTTACAACAATCAAGCTGATGTGATATTGTATGAGTTTTATGTATTTTATTGTTTGTGACTGAATATTGTAATTTTGTAACAACATCCTGCCCAGGGACTGCAGATGCAAATTAGCTTTATAGCTAACTCTGGCACAACACATGTTTCCCTGTTAAATAAATAAAATAAAATAAAATAAAATAAACTATTGACCATTAAATTATTATTTTTATAATGTTATGTCCCTTTCACCCACTATTTTTATATTATTTCGAAACTGACTGAACGTTGTAGCAAACTAGGCAATACCAAAATATATTTCGGTTTTATTTTCTCCCTCAGTTCAATAATAGCCTAATAATGTGTGCAGTATTTGCACTGGACAAAAATTAATTCTCTCAAACTGTTGCAAATTCGTTTTTGACCAGTAGAGGGCATTGTATACTAATTTTAGTGACCGTAGTGAGTTCAGTAAATTTGGGTCCGAGTATTTGCAAGACCTCAACAACACACACACACACACAGGCTATATAGGCTATATAAACATTAAGTAGCCATTTAAAGGTGTTTATTTAAGAATGATATATGTTAATCTGCTAATATTTATTATAAAGTGTTATTAAGGAGGTCGAGTTATATGTTGTATCTCCAAGGTGAAACAACCCACACAACACCTGAACAAGCTCTGTAAGGTAAAAGACACAGTTTTACCCGCAAATACACGGCTATGAAAGAAATGAGAGGAGCGCAGCTGCAGCAGTACAGGTGAGACGACAGACGTCACGTGACCAGAGGTTCACCGTCCAGGTGAGACGGCGGGAGTCAGTCAGACAGACAGCTGCTGTTCATGACAGAACACACAACAAACAACAACGAGCTGGCATGTAATTCACGGAATAAATCTCTTCATCATGAATTCAAGCGGTGGATTAGGCCTATCAGACGATGAAGACAAGGTAATCAATCACTTCACAATTAATTCTTCATCTGAAGTCAACGAGAATACAATTTAATGTGGGAAAACAGCATATCTCATTATTTGCCACTGCACTGCAGATAGAGATACTTTCATGACTGACATATTAATGTTCTTTATTTTCGTCTTAATTGCTTACACAGATTACTATTTTATCTTGGATCTACGTGTCGACTTTGAGTTTAAGGTGAGAAATACTTAACGTTTATTCGACTGCCATGTGATCCAGCATTGTTTTAGGATGAGCGCGTGCGGTCTGTTGCTTTAATGCAACACACAAAGAGAAACCATTATTTGCAGCTGAAGTTATGCATTTGATTTGAGAGGCAGTAACTCGCCTGACTCGCAGTGTGACTTATGAAAAGTGAAGTAAGGATTTTAAGAATTTACATGGGGCAACCCAATCTGTCTCCTGCAGGGTCCGTCATGCTGAACTGTTAAAATGTTAGTAATTTGAAAAGAAATGTAAACATACTACAATATTACCGTTTGATGGGATAATTGTAATTTTTCCTATCATAAAACAGTGATATTATCATTTAAAAGACAATATATTACCATTTATTATAAAACAGACATGTTTTTCGAAGTCAAAATATTAATTACCTTTATAATTTACTGAAACAATGAGTCAGTATTTATGCAATTTGTATTTACAGTTAAAATTATGTTTAATATTGTTAAAGTATGAGTCATTTCAGCACAAACCATCACATTAACGTTTTAATGTTTAGATGTTACTTTATTTTTGTTCTTAATCATGCAAATTAAAGTGTTTTCTGTGGCATTTTATGTTGTTTATGGCAATATTGTATGTCTTGTTTGTTTACAGTACCTCTATACAGATTTGTGACCAACCACAGCAATGTTTTTAATAAATGAATAATAAATTTAACCAGTGTGGTTAATGTGGTAACATCAAAAATAATTGATGTTATTTAAGTCAAAAGACCTATATGTAACATCTAAATAATTAGTTTAATGTAAGTGTTAGATGAGACAGAAATAATTCCTTAAGATTGCTTTTGCAGCTTACCACTTTTCACAGTGTAAGAGACCAGGACAGAGACAGAGAAAGTAGAATTCTTAACTTGTGTCTCATGCATGGTTGTTGTTCATTACATTTATCACATTGCTGCACTCAGTGTTAGCTGTATGGAATCTAGGTTTATTATTTTAACCACTTTTTCTTTCTGTTGCAGTCTGATAGGTAGTTGTTCTGTCGTTGTGGTTTCCATCATAAAGAGAAGGCATCTCAATGAACAGGTGAGTCACACAGACAGAGAAGAGAAATAAATGCCCTATATAAATATATAAACTACTAAAATTGGAAGAAGAAAAAAACTCAAACTTTCAAATTATTTTTATTTTTTTTAGTTGTAGTTTTTTTAGGACATCAAGCTACTAGCTGAAATAAACTTTTTTATATTTATTTTAGTTAATGTTTATTTTATTTTAAGGAAAAGGGTGGTTTTTGATGGTTTCAGTTTTGGTTAGCAATAATAACCCTGATCTGTATGCAATAGTGAAATTCCATCTTGGGGAACAAATCTGATCAAGCCACCACGCTGTAAAAAAACGTAATGTAGAAATGTGTTATTTTATACAGATGTTTTGCCTGTATTTTGAATTTTGCACTGCATTGCATTGTGTTTTAGGGTTAACAGAAATGTGCGTAAAAATACTTGATAATGTCCTGGCAAAAAATTACCAGTACATTTTTTTTAACAATGCATCCCTCTTAACAGGCACATAAAATGCCTACTTGAATATTTCCAGCAGATAATCTGAATTTTTGAGTGGACAAACCAACTGCAATGAGGCAGAATTTGATGGTTTTACATTCCCCAGCTGAAGCACATTTAGAGTACATACATTCCCCACTATTGCTGCAAAAGTCAACAGTGATGGTCAATATTGGCTAACAGTGGGCCAGTGCACTCAGACACAGGCTGAGAATGAAAACTAAATCTGATTATGTCACTGCATACAGCTCTCTTCTTCAGTATCACACACTTTAGATAACTTCTTTGCAAAGTTCTCCAAAACATTTGTAAAAAATATTTCTTCTCACTGAATGGGGTCTTTTCGTTTGCAAATATGCAGCATGCTCTTCATGTTTTAATGTTTCTCTGTCATTGTTCTTGTGTTACAGGCAAAGCCTCTTCTTCAGCTGGCACTGGCAGATTTCCTGGCATCGCTTGTTTTGATGATCACCGCCATAATTAATTTACCCCATGAAATTTGGCCGTTCAGTGAAGAGATGTGCAACTACGGATTGCCTTTGTCTTTGGTGAGAAACCGCTGACACTGAAACATGAAATTATTCATAGCTGTTATCTAATCAACACGATTTAGGATAACCTGCAATAAAAGTCTGAAAGTAATTGTTAACATCTCCAACCGCTGCTGGGGATACTCACACTACATGCGCAAAAATCGATATCTCTAGGGTGTACGACATAATGCCCTGTACCATGCATTTGCTGAATAATGGCCTTGTTATGCAACGACTTCCTTGAGCGGCTAAAAAATGAACATCTCTGTAACAGTGAGATGTTGGTGTAGAGTTACACACTAGATGTTTATTCAGTGCTTTGCAGATTTTCTGCATTATTGTGTGTCACCATAAAACAGTTGAAGAGCCACATGCATGCACATACTGTATAGAACACTGAGTCATGCACTGCCCTGAGTCATGCCTGCCCTCATTTGACACTGAGCTGACACAGTAGTACAGTAAAAACATGAGTGTATTATTTACAGGAGGATAACCACTGAGAGGTCACCACGGTAAAGGAACTGTTTATTAATACTGCTTAAAACACGGTCAAATGTTTGGGCACATATTATGAAATGTCATTTTTATATACACTACTAGTCAAAAGTTTGGACTAACTCAGATGTATTTGTTATGCTCACCAAGGCTATATTTATTTGTTTAAAAATACAGTAAAAACTGTTGAAATATTATTACAATTTAAAGAAGTGTTCTCTATTTTAATCTATTTTTAACATGTAATTTATTCCTGTAATACAAAGCTGGATTTTCAGCATCATTACTCCAGTCATCAGTGTCACATGATCCTTCAGAAATTATTCTAATATGCTGATTTGCAGCTTAGTTATTAATAATGGCTCTTATTATTATCAATGTTGAAAACAGTGATGCTTAATATTTTGATACATTTCCATGATACATAAACATTATAAATTTTTTTCCAGGACTCTTTGATGAATAGAAAGTTTAAATGAACAGAATTTATTTGAAATAGAAATATTTTGTAACATTATAAATTAATTTACTGTCACTTCTGATCAATTTAGTGCGTCTTTGCTGAATAAAAATAAGATTTTTTAAAATCATACTTACTCTAAACATTTGAGTGGTAGTGTATATTTCATTTGAAATATATAAATAATATATTAATAATATATAATATACATGTATATAAGATTGATTTAAAGTATATTGTTATATATATTAAATATACATAAAATATTTAAATATATAAATAAATGGCAGAATTGTACAGGAATTCATGCACATTTCATATTTGTCAAAACTAATTTGAAGCAATGCAGCAAAAGCCTTTAAATTGAAATGTCAAAATTTTTTTGTTTAAATCAAACAAAGTCAGTCATGTGTGTCCAAATACTTTGCTGTGGACTAACTTCAGTAGTTTAAGCATTAACTCTCTGTGTCTCCTCAGGCCTTCTACTGCGTCTCGTTTCTGCTTGTCATCATTTATGCCTGTGAGTCAGCACATGCGTTTCAAGGATGGAGGGAAAAACCAGTGCAGGAAGCCTTTGAAACCCAGGTGAGCAGGGTTACTGCTCATAAACATTCACTCTCCGTCACTGTTTTATAAATCAAATCAACTTGACAGCAGGTATGAATGTTTGCAGACGTAGCAGTTTGGCAGAGTCTGAGACCTGTCAGGCTGTGCCACATTCCTCCTGCATTTTCTTTATGTAGACACATACAATTATCTCTGTTCAGTACATTTCGTAGAAATGCCCCTGGAATTGTTTCTACCTGATTGAACCCTTGAGATCACTCAAATCAGTAGTTCAGTCTTATTAAATAATATATTTAACTCAAAACCTGTTAATTTCGATCAGTGTAATTATCATTAACTAAAACCATTAAAAAACATGTTACTTAAAATAAAATGATAAAAAACTTATTTTATTTCAGCTAGTCTCCAACATTTCAAATTTTTGTTGTAGTTTAATTTTAAGTAACTAAAGTAAAATTAAATAAATAAAAATCACTATATAAACTATGTAAAATAGAAAATAGAAAAATCTCATTCAAAATATTAACAAAACTATCAATGATACTAAAAAACCACTGATTTAGGTGATACCACATTTTAAAGTTACCTAACAAAACAATTTTACAGTAAATGCTTAAGACATTAAGATATTTTTATGATTAGTCTATCAATTAGTTGATTCATTATATATATATATATATATATACACGACCGTTCAAAAGTTTGGGATCAGTAAGATTTTTAATATTTTTTACCGAAGTTTCTTGTGCTCATCAAGGCTTTATTTATTTGATCAAAAATACAGAAAAAAAACCTGTTATTTTGTGAAATATTATTGCAATTTAAAATAACAGTTTCTATTTTAAAGGGGTCATATGATGCTATATACATGCATATATTTGTTTTCCTACTTCTATTGTACTAATTTTTCTTGCATTCATTCAGTTAGCACAGTTATCACTCAGAAGGAGGAGGTTTTGTCTGATCTATGTTATTGCGTGGTGAGTAGTTCCAGTTTGCTTTCATAAATGCATTTAAATGATTTATGTACTGTAAAACTGTAAATATGATAAAGTAATGCTTTGCAGTAATTTTATTGCAGTGTTTATGTAATGATCTGTATGTTTACATATCATTGCTTTAGGCTTGTACCAATAATTGGATACTTTATCTACATTCGTACCGTCCATTATATGGAAGCTACTGTAACGCCAGCACAGATGCCAACACTGACAACCGTCAGCAGAGGACCCACCGCCAGGTTCTGCAACAGGTAAGAAAGAGTGTCTGTGAGCATTCGCACGTACATTTCGGTGTCATTTTACTTAATTCTTGTCTGATTTCTCTTGCAGCTGCATTCTCTTCCTGCATCTCACAAATGACTCTTGCATAACAGTGGTAAGAAATTATTACAGGCACCATCAAATGAGTTCAGCTAAATCACCTCTGAAGCTGTTCCCATCATGCTGTCTTTTGTCCAACAGGATGCAGCTCATGCTGAGTTCATTCGAATTTTCACATTGAGCAGTGTGTTGATGGTCATCATCGTCTGCACAGTGAGTGCACACGTATTCAAGTTTATGAATAATACTAATCACAAATCACATCATTTGACACATATTTCATCAGTCTTACTTACCATAAAAATCCATAGGGGCTGCATGTCATGTTTTGCTTAGTGTCTTTAAAATAAATGCCACATGGTTTGATATTTTAGACTTTTTAAGTGTCCAAATACTTTTGGTCACTGTAGGTGTTTTATGTAAATAATCTCCTGTAATACGCATTTCTCATCCTGTAGGTGGTGTACTGTAAGTTAGAGAGCTCTTATAGGCGCTATGAGAACACAAGCCTGATCACAAGGATACAGAAACATCCAGGTGGGATTTGGCCTTCGGCTCGATATATGATCCTTGTTATCATTTTCTGCTGGGCACCAGGTCAGTACAATAACACACACATGTTCTCAAATGCTACACGTATACAATATGTCTATATGTATTTATCTAAAAGGCTGTAATTATTTTATTGAACTAAATGATATGTTTAATTTTTTCAGCTCTGCTTCTCATCTGTCTGTCTTTCGCACAACCTAGGATAAAACATCTCTTCCCTCTCTATGTCACACAGGTAAAGCATGTTTTCTAAAGCAGAACATTTGTTAAATAGTAATAAATGATTCAGTATTTATGTAAGATTATACATTAGTAATGCATCTTTGCATTAGTAGTGGGCATTTTTAATTGAGTCACTGAATTGTCCACTCAACCAATTCGTTTAAAAACGCTGAGTCATTCAGGATCTAAATGAGTGACTTTCTGTATAAGTCATTGAATTGTTCACTCAACCAATTTGTTCAAAAACGCTGATTGGTAAAGGATCGAAACAAGTGACTTTCTTAATGAGTAAGTGATTGAATTGTTCAGTCAACTGATTCATTTAAAAACACTGATTAATTCAGGAATGAATCGAGTGACTGTACGAGTGAGTCATTGAATCATTCATTCAGTTGATTCATTCAAAAACTGGTTCATTCCAAAATGAAACAAGTGGCGGCATGAGTGAGTCATTGAATTATTCAATCATTCGAAAATGCTGATTCATTCAGGAACTAAACAAGTGACTGACTGTATGAGTGAGTCATTGAATAATTAACTCAACTGATTAGTTAAAAACAGATGCTTCTTTCAGTAACAAAAGTGACTTTCTGAATTACTAACCACATACTAATAACTCTATTTTCTATATAATGATATTAATAATGAAAAAATATTAAGAGTAGTTTGCTAGTACGCAGTTCTGAATTCCGCCATTGTCTGCATGAGTGAGTTATTGAATCATTCACTCAACTGATACTTGCAAAAACGTTGCCTTATTCAGGAACAAAAGAAGTGACAGACTATATGAGTGACTCATTGAATTGTTCCCTTAACCGATTTGTTCAAAGAAACACTGATTCATTGAGGAATGAAACATGTGACTGACTGTGAGTGAATCATTGAATTATTCACTTAACCGATGTCAAAAAAATTTGATTTATTCTGAAATGAAAAAAAGGGACTGACTGTACGAGTGACTTTTGATTTGTTACAAAGCAAAAAACAAACAATATTGTGTCTAAAATATATAGTAGTTAGTTACTTAATATAAACTTCTTGTTTACGGAACTGTTTGTATAAGATAGTTTGAGATTCATAGAAACGGATGCTATTCACAGACGTTTTAATCATGGAATATTTTCTCCCATGCGCTGCTGTACAGGCGCTGTCAGTGTCACTCCAGGGTTTTCTGAACAGTATTGTGTACGCATGGAGACGACGCAATTTCAGAGATGCCGTTCTGGGGGAACGTCTGCCTCTCATGGCCTACTCTAACAGAGCCTTCTTTGACCAATCGTTAAATGAGCCATCATGAAATCACAGAAATCATGTACATGTTATGTGTGTAAAAACATACGAGCTTTCTTTTACAAATATGTTTGCTTAAATGTTTTCTATTTATTTTTATATATATATATTTGTGATAACCGTTGATAGGAAATGTTATATATTTTGCTGCCTGCAGAACAGTAGTATACTTAAAATGCATAAAACAATAGTGGAGTCTCGAAAAGACAAATTATTAGTGGATTATTTTCAAACCATACTTTTACCTTACTTACAAGAGTGATATATAGTAACTGTATATTTGATAAGATGTTCAACTGCAGTTTTGTTCAATAAATATCTGTGTATAGCTATTAGCCAGTATTTCTAGTTCTTGACTGAAATTTTGCTACTTCATCTCTTACCTAACAATGACAAAGCAAAGTATGCCACAGAGCCGTGCTAGTAAAATGTTTCCTGTGTGATAGTTCTTCAGTACAGAACAGTCAAATATGTACTGAACAGGATGATCATGTCACATGTCACATGTTGAGTCGACAGCATGAACGTTCCTTTGGTTTCAGGTTGGACACAATCAGATCCAAAACTGAAAGAATAATTAATAAAATCAAGATATATTTCAGTTGTGGTAGATTAGCCATTATGTTTATAGTGTTTATTGCAGTATTACAAGGGCCATAAAATTGTGACGAGTGGGGAAAAAAACAGGATCATGTGGTATGTTACATAATAATGTTATATAATTTTTTTATATCAAAAGTGATATCAAAATTGCTTCATAAAAACACCCTCAGGCAGGCTAACTTTTTTTAGTGGCTATGGATAAATTAATGAATGAATGGAAAGGTACTCACAGAACCAAAGCCCCTCATTTAGATCATATTTATATAATTAAAGATTTAAATAGAATTCTATTTAAGAATTCTATTTTGTATTCGGCAGCCATGCTTAGTATTAAATGCATAAAACCTGAATGTTTATCAATCAAAATACAGTTTTAACACGCCTTTGAGCGAGGCATTTGGCTATCTATATTGTTGAAAAGAATGACAAATTACAGTTTTAGTGATCATTTGATCACAAAAACTAGTATGAACAAAGTATATTATATGGGATCAGCCCTGGGATTTCCCTTTAGCAACTTCCTGACAAACACTGAAACTGACCTAATTTCACAGAGTTTGTCTGTGTTAATAGACCTGATTTCTAGATTTTAGTAAAGAAATACGCTCAAATGAGGAAAGCATAGCATTTTAACTGTAGCATCTTTATGATTTATTAATTCACTGCAGCAGATTTATCGAATCAGTAAAAGCAGACTAATGCCTTTCAATAAAGCATTAAACTTCAGATGACTGTTCCTGTAATAAATACTGGACAAAAGCATCTTTTAATGATCAGAAACACAGCCGTTTTTACAGTCAAAAGACAATAAATCTATGCATTAAGGGTCTCATTGTATGTTTATTTATGTTCATTTTTACGGTCTATCCTGTCATTCTGACCAATATATGCTACTGTAGCAAAAACAGTAAAAATGTGCATGTGTAACACAGGGCTCAGTGAGGCATGAAGAAAACAACTGGAGATTTACTGAATTTAAAATAAAACTCCACGTGACAATCTAAAGTGTGACATGACAAAACCATGCATGAATGCTCAAGATGACACAAACATGAATAAAATGAACAAAACCAACGAAGAGATTTACTGAATTTAAAATAAAACTCCACGTGACAATCTAAAGTGTGACATGACAAACCATGCATGAATGCTCAAGATGACACAAACATGAATAAAATGAACAAAACCAACGAAAATGGAAAAACGGCACAAAACATCTGAAATATGTTAGAGAGAACCAGACGAGGGGAAAAGGGCATGACATTTCTGTACAGTTTGGTTTATGACAAAGGTTATGTCTACGGTCATAATATGGTCATAAAAAAAGTCCTTTGGCTGCGCAGTGATGTCAGACAAAATCATTTATGTGGGTGGTTTCATGCGCATTTGGGAAGAATGAAAGAAAAATCTTTGAGGAAATTACTATTATATCCAAGTTTTCTGGTTACATATTTACTGTACGTTTCTTTTATTATTAAAACTTGGCATTTTACATTACATATAACAATAATAAAAAATAAATGTCTAAGGGCTGTTTTTATGTGAAAAACTTCATACTACAATAAAAATGACAGAAACAGTCATGTTCAATCTGCATGTTTGTATGAAATTAAAAAATTTAATTAAACACTAAGGATTAAATTACTAGGGCATGTGCTATATTGTGAATATGCTATATAAACATGCAAATACAGATCACAATATAGCATGACCTTGAGTTCCCTGTTGCTGTATTAAGAAGAGGGTTTTTTTTTTATTAAAATGTTAATGATATAAATTTTTTGTGTACCTTAAAAAATAAAAATAAATGAATGGCCAATCAAGGCAGTGTTATTTTTGCATCATTGAGCTACTATTATAGTTTTTAAAAAGATATTTTGAATTAGTTTTTTAATATTGTTTTTTATTGTAATTGTTGTTAAAAGTTGATTCATTTTGTTGTGTTTTTTTGTCATTTTTATTATAGTTTGTCTATATAATTATTTAAAATAATTTTTATTTCAGTTTTAGTTATTTTAGTACAAGTTGAACTAAATGAAAATAAGAAATGTTGCTTTGGCAACTAGCTGAAATTAAATAAACGCAAGTAATTTTATTTTATTTTATTTTTTATTTCAGTTAAGTTTCAGTGTAAAAAAAATGGTTGTGGTTTTAGTTTTGGTTTTAATTTACTTTAATAACCCTGATTCAAGGGGTGGCAAAAAGGAGGTACTGAGAACGACAAGAAAAACATTGAAATAAAATAGTAAAATTATAAAAGAAATGTGAACATTTACAGCTATGTATTATATTATATTATATTATATTATATTACTGAATTATATGACTTCCGCTCCACTCAGAAGTCCATATGAGGGAGCACTGTTGGACCAATGAAAAAAATAATGGCGAAAGTAGTTTTTTTTTATGTTAAAACATTATATTTATTTTCACAGAATTGTGTTCACGTGACAATGCTCTTGGTAATCCCCATGAGGCTATGTCATAAACAACACTTTAGAAATGACTTACTCTCCTCAATAAACCTCAGTGAGCATCACTGCCTCCTTTAAAAACACAACCACAACACCAAACACCACAGCACAATCCAACCTACATCAGATTAGATTGCTTCAAAGAAAGGGGAAGAGAAAGCTAAATCAAATGAATACAAACACAATCCACAGTCCTTCCTCCCATCTCTCCATACAAACTGTCTACTAATCAAATCATCCACAAGTCATCTGACAACTTTTACTTCACAAAGAACAGTTTCTGATGATTTTTCAGTGGTTTTATCTCCAGAACTCAATATATACACTATAATTAAATTCAATTAAAATTAAATAAAAAATTAAATTAAATTGATCAAAAGTGACAGTAAAGACATTTATAATGTTACAAAATATTTCTATTTCAATAAATCTTTTAAACTTTAGATTAATTAAAGAATCATGAAAAATGTATCAGTTTTCCACAAAAATATCAAGCAGTACAACTGTTTTCAACATTGATAATAATCAGAAATGTTTCTTGAGCAGCAAATCGGCATAATAGAATGATTTCTGAAGGATCGTGTGACACTGAAGACTGGAGTAATGATGCTGAAAATTCAGCTTTGATTCACAGGAATAAATTACAGTTTGAAATATATTCAAATAGAAAACTGTCCTTTTAATTGTAATAATATTTCAGAATATTACTGTTTTTACTGTACCCCAAACCTTTGAATGGTAGTGTAAGTCTTTGCATTAAACTATCAAAATGAATTTATCAGTAACAAAATCTTCTAGTTGAAAACCGGCTCATGGTGACAGAAAGACATGAGCTGCTGGTCATGAATATATGCAAAAATGTGGACTAATGACTAAGGAATCATGAGACAAAACATTTAATTAGCAAAAAAATTATGCAAAATACCGTTTCATGGCCAGTAAGAGATATTTAACCACCATTGGCAAGTGTGATAAAAACTTTACTTTACTACATAATCTGGTTTTGAGGAATGAGAATAACACCAATAAAAAAAATAAATACTGGACTTGGCTTGAAATCAAGTATAGGAAGGGCAAAGGGGGTTACAACGACAACAAAAACGTTGAAATAAAATAGTAAAATAATAAAAGAAGGTGTGGGCAAACATTTACAGCTACGCATTATATTATTGAATTTTTACACGACAAATAAAGTGTCAGCTGACTTCCGCTCCACTCAGAAGTCCATAGAGAGGGAGCGCTGTTGGACAGGGTTGGCATGATTACGTACCATCATGACGTTGCTTCCACGGGTGATAAAATCATTGTAGCCGATCTCCTCCATCACCCGTTCCTCCAGCCCCAGCTCCTCATCTTCCAGTGCCTCTCTCAGACTCTGGGCGCTGTAAGCGTGAGCGCGCGGGTCGTGCGTGAAAGGGTGCGAGCGGGAGCTGCTCCTGCGTCCGTGGAAGCTGCCCCAGCCTCTGGCCCCAACATCCGTACTCATGTCATCGGAGTCGTGCGAGAGATGATGCGCTCTGCTTGCCATGACGATGGAGGCGGCGCTGCTCGGAGCGCCACAGTGATGCTCGTGGACGCAGCGGGACACGCTGGAGGAGCGGCGGAGTTTCTGCAGACTCTCCAGCTCCTCCGACAGATCCTCCGGCAGCTCCGCTTCCTGCATGGAGAAGAGCTCGTACTGAGGAGGCTCCAGCACCTCCTGCATCTCTGCAGCGCTGAACAAACCCTTACGGCTCAAAACCTGCGGCAGACAAATGCACATTAGCAAGGTCACATTTTCACGCATGTAAAATTTTAGTATCATCACATGTATCATGTAACAAATATTAGGGTTTAAATCCTTAAAGTGAGTGCACAATGGCATTCACAACCCATTCTACTTTTGTCATTTCATGCATTTCTAATTATAGCAGGATATTAATTACATATCATAATTACATTATGATAAGAGATTGCAAAGAACATTTTTGTAAAAATTTGAAATAAAATGCTTAATGAACATGCACAATGACGACTGGATTTGTGCATTAAATATGTAAATTGAGAA